GGCTTTGCTCCCGGTGCCTCTGGTCTGCTGGGGACCATCTCCAGCAGACCAGGGACACCGGGAGCAAAGGAGGCGGAGGGGCGCTGGGGTATAAGATGAAACCCTATCTTTTAATTAAAAAGATAGGGGGTCGTCTTATACACCCAGTCGCCCTATACGCCGGAAAATACGGTACCTATTGGTCACCAACATGCCAGCCCACTCAATCGTCCCCTGCTCTTGCTCTGCTGGGGACCATCTCCAGCAGACCAGGGACACCGGGAGCAAAGGAGGCGGAGGGGCGCTGGGGTATAAGATGAAACCCTATCTTTTAATTAAAAAGATAGGGGGTCGTCTTATACACCCAGTCGCCCTATACGCCGGAAAATACGGTACCTATTGGTCACCAACATGCCAGCCCACTCAATCGTCCCCTGCTCTTGCTGACTTTTGTGACAGAAGAAGTTACCCTGTGCAGTAATGATGGTCTTCAAGATGTGTGTCCCGTGGGTGCTCCACTGTAGGTGTAGGGCTTGTCCCAGCACCGCAGATCGGAGATCTTTTTTAGATGTAGTCCGCTGGACCGCAATGCGTGTCTCGTGCCTTTTGTGCCGTTTGTGTGCGCGCAGTCCGGCTCCCGCCAGTTCCTCCTGATCCTCTAGAGTCTGAAAAACATAATAAATGAGGTACTCTGAAAGAGAGGAGGAGGGTGGGTCATGGAGCACCCACAGGACACACATCTTGAAGACCCATCGTTACTATACAAGGTGAGTAACTTCTTCGTCTTCTACGAGCAGTGTCCCGTGGGTGCTCCACTGTAGGTGAGTTCACAGCAGTAGCCTACTTCAAGGAGGCGGGATTTGGAGCTAACATCCTGCTGCCATGGAGAAGATGGCAGAGGCAACTGCTGCATCAGTCATAAAGATGTTAGGAATAGCATAGTGTTTGGCAAATGTAAAGCCAGAAGACCAAGTAGCTGCTCGGCAAATGTCTCGTAAGGGAATCCATTTGAGGAAGGCAGCTGAAGTTGCCATCACTCTCGTTGAATGTGCCTTCAGCGTATGTGGAAGAGGCTTGTTCTGTAAGCAATAACATTGTATTATACACGAGACGATGAGTCAGGATATACATTGTGCCGACAAGGGATGGCCTTTAGAATGTTCCACAGTGGACACGAGGAGGTGCTGAGATTTCTGAAAGCATTGTGTCCTGTCAATATAGAATGCTAATGCTCGACGGACATCCAAGGTATGGAGACGTGCATGATGTGCTGAGTGGGGTTTGGGGTAGAATGTGGGAAGAACTATTGGTTCGTTTAGGTGGAACTCTGAATTCACTTTAGGTAGAAAGGCTGGTTGAGGACGCAGTATTACCCTATGGGGGGTAAACACCATGTAGGGTGGTGATGCTGAGAGGGCGGATAATTCCCCGACCCTTTGTGCTGAAGTTATTGCCAACTGAAAAACCATCTTCATTGTTAGGGTATGTAAATCACAAGCTGCCAACAGCTCAAAAGGGGGTCGCATTAAGGCATCCAAAATTAGCTCCAGGTTCCATGGGTCTGCGGGCTACCTGTGGTGTGGGAAGAGATTAGTCAACCCTTTCATAAATCTCTTTGTTATTGGATGGGAAAATACACAGTAGCCATCCACAGAGTGCTGAAAGGCGGTGATTGCTGCAATATGTACCTTGAGAGAGGAACAAGTCAGGCCAGAGTGTTTAAGATCTAAAAGATCATCCAAAATGCGATGAATAGGGACTGAGTATGGGTCCACGCCTAAGTTGGAGCACCATGAAGAGAAGTGTCGCCACTTATGCAGGTAAGTGTTACATGTGTTAGATCTCCTACTATGTAGCAGGACAAGCTTGACAGCTTGGGAACAATTAATCTCTGTTTGTTGGAACCAACTAGGTACGAGGTCATCAAAGCGAGGTGGTCAAGTTGAGGATGTATCAATTGCCCATGATCCTGCAACAGCAAGTCGTGGCGTTGGGAAGATGATATGGAGAATGGATTGACATGCGAAACAGGTAAGGAAACCATGTCTGTCGTGGCCAGAAGGAGGCTATCATTATTACTGTGGCTCCTTCGATTGCTATTTTCTCCAGAACTTTGGGAATAAGGGGAGTAGGTAGAAAGGCGTTCTGGAGATGATGACTCCAGTTGTATAGGAAGGCACCCCCCATGGACTTCCGTCCAACCCCAGCTCTTGAGCAGTATTGAGGGCACTTTGTGTTGCGGTGTGAGGCAAAAAGGTCTACAGATGGATACCCCCAATGGTGGAATATGGCATGAAGCACCTCTGGATGCAATTCCCATTCGTAATTCATGGAGAAATGCCTGCTGAGAGCATTGGCTGTGGAGTTCTGCTCACCAGGGAAGTACTCTGCAATAACTGTAATTTTGTGCTGGTTGCACCAATTCCATAAACGTATCACCTCCATGCAAAGTGATCAGGATTGAGCTCCATCCTATCTGTTTACATAGTATACCGTAGTCATATTGTCGGTAAGGACACAAATGACCCGACCACAGATAGGGGAAGAAAGTGCCGACATGCATTGAAGACTGCCTGCAACTCAAGTAGGTTAATATGTAGTAGCGATTTGTGAGTGGACCATAGGCCCTGGGTAGGCATCCTGTAGGTTGAGGGATGTAAACCAAACTCCACTGTGCAATGCTGGAATGATAGTTGCCAGGGTCATCATCTTGAAGCGTTGTTTGCGAAGGTACCAATTTAATCATTGAAGGTCCAGGATGGGTCTCCAACCTCCCTATTTTTTCTGGGTCAAGAAATAGTAGAAATAGAACCCCCTGCCTTTGAACTTGTCTGGAACCTTCTCTTTCGCTCCAATAGCTAAGAGACGAGCCACTTCTTGTTTTAAGAGAGACTCATGAGATGAGTCCCTGAAGAGGGATGGGGTGGGGGTGGAAGGAGGACGTGAGAGAAAGGGGATGATGTAGCCTAACGCAATTAGTTGTACGACCCATCTGTCGGTGGTAATATAGGTCCATTGCTGGTGGAATGGCTGTAGACAATGGTGAAACAGTGCATCTGTGGCCCAAAGGTGGGTGGCCAGCAGAATGGTCTGCAGTCCCTCGACTGAGGACTCAAACTTGCTGCCTGGTGTTCTGTTGATTGGATGGTTTAGTTTGTGGTAGTTTTTTCTGTTGTCTTTGTCTGCTGCGTTGATGTTCCTGCTGTCTATCCTGGGACATGGCGTGTGAGAATGGTCTCTGTCTTTGGTAGGATGTATATCTTTTTCGGCGATAAGACGGGGTGTACATGCCTAAAGTGTTAAGTTTAGATCTGGAGTCCCTGTCAGAATGGAGGACTTGATCCATCTTTTCTGCAAAAAGACTCTGCCTGTCAAAGGGAAGATCTTCAACCTTTGACAGGAGGTCCTTCGGCACTGCTGCTTGTTGCAGCGATGAGGTTCTGCGCATGACCACAGATGTGGCGGTGGTCCGCACTGCCACATCTGAGATATCAAGGGCTATGTGTAGCACTGTTCTAGAAGCCATGTATCCTTCTTGTACCACTGACTTTCCATCCGACAAGATCCAGACGCTTAGTCTCCTTGTCATTGGCACTGCCCCTGAACTGAGGAGCTTTAGCCCTCTGTTGTGCTGCATCCACAACCAGAAAATTTGGTTGTGGTTGCGTGAAGAGGA